CCCCCCCCCCCCTCTCTCTCTCTCTCTCTCTTGTGTGTGTGTGTGTCCGTGGATCTGTTTGCCAGACCAACAAACCCCAAAATACAACCCCCCGCCCCAAAACACAGCATCAATGGAAGAGAACCCCCCTTGAACAGTTAGTCTCCTTCCCCTCGGCGCATTTTAAGGAGCTACCCCCTCTAACTTTTCCAATGTGGAGTGCGCACACCTCTGGGGTGTATGAACTAGCCCACTGACCTTCGGAAATTCTCAGACCAGCCTTGTCAGAACATACCCGTGAGCCGCAGCTGCCAGGTGTGTGATTTGTACCATTAAGGCACAAACATCCCGGTACATTCTCACAGCCCTTAGTGTAGGGTTTTCCAAAAATTACAAGTGGGCTGAGTGTACCCTTCTCCTCAACATGTGAAATTCAGTTTCTTTTTTTTCCTTTCTTTGAAAAACTCTGCATGGTTTGAGCAGCCTACTTGTTACATGCTGGGCCTGCACAAGGGCCCCATTTTGGGGGCCCGACAGGTGCTGGGCCCCCAGGTCGCGCGCCCTTCAGATGCGCACCCTGGAGGCCCACGGCTGGCCCTTAGGGCGCAGGATTCAATTCGAGGCAGCATTCATTTATTTATTTGATTGCTGTCCTATTTTGTCTGTTCAGGCACCGTTTCAGACCTGCAGTTCCCAAGGGCATGCCTTGGGCCAGGTACGCCAGGAGGCAGGCCGCCCCTGTCCAGGTACAGGGTCTGGACGTCCGGTCGGGACTCAGACCCTGTAGGCCCACGTTTGGGCCAGACGGCCGTAGGCATACAGAGGCAGACCAGCCGACCCAGCGCTACTTATCGCTGGGCCAAGGCTGGACAGACACAGTTGGAGTAGCTCAATTCTCAGGTGACATGCTGTTGGAGCAGCGCTGCGACCTCCAGCACTACGCTAGGTGGTAGAGGTAGAGGTGTAGGTAGGCAGAGGGGCAGAGGCCATACCTGCGCCGGCGGTACTTACCTGGGCGCCATAGCTGCGCTCCACGCCAGCGACCTACACAGGGACCACGACGACGGTCAGTGCGGCGGCAGTTACCTGCAGGTGAGACAGTGAGGAGGATGACATCTTCTTCTTCTTCTTCATCTCGCCCTCCATCTCTTCTCCCTCCTTTCTTCTTCTTCTTCTTCTTCTTCTTCTTCTTCTTCTTCCCAGAGAGGGAGAGAGAGAGAGGTTACCGGCAGAGGTTACACCGGGCATTTGGCCCAGGATCTGATCCGACATTTTTGTGGCAGACATTGATTGGACATTCGGCAGGTGACTATTTTTGGACTTCGCTATCGCGATCTTGGTCTTCTCCCTCGCCTCCATCTTCGTCTCGCCTCTTCCCCCATCTCTCATCCGTGATATCCCCCCTGTGGTGGCACATTCAAGCCTCGCTGGGATGTTCAGAGGACAATGCAAATGCTACCATGTCCTCTCCGTATCAGTGTTAAGCCTACACTACCGGATGAAGTCCACAACCCATGGGTACCCCCTTCAGGGGCCTTTTCCTAGATGCAGCGCCAACCTTGGAGATGAAGATGCAAGTCTAGCATCGCCAAGGTGAGTCTCATTCCAGGTTCCCACCTCCGTCCTCCTCCTTCCACCTCTACTACACCTCCATAGCCTAGGACTACTTCTATCTCCTTCCTACTATAGCGCCATAGCCATCCAGGTCTAGTTCATCACCTCCCAGCTCCACCTTCTCCTTCCAGGAGCTCCACCACTTCTCCTCGTGGCAGAGCAGCAGCATGACTGCCAGGTGAATGAGTGGAATGCTCATTGCTCCACATTCTGTACTTGCTGCCTCCCGCCCTCCTGTACCTCCCAGCCAGGTGGTACCTGCCTCTACCCACCTCACTTGGGTGCACTAGGGTGGGAACATCATTGCAGACTGCAACCTACCTACAAGCCCTGCACCTAGACTAATACCCGCCTACGTTCAGGCCGTGGACCATCATTACCTACAGGTTACAGGTAAGTTACTGGACCTTTCTATTACCTTGACGAATTGCTGGAAAATCCCTTCTGGGTCCCTGGCATGTCCCTAGGTGCTAAACTACCCCCCAATACATCCTACCACTAACTTCAGTGCTGCCCCTGGTTGTCTCTCTGTCCCTACCTTGTCCCTGTCCGAGGCACAGCCACCCACACACGGCCAACAGCGTTAGCACACGGGCCCAGACTTGAACTCAGGCAAACACACGGCACAAACACGTTAGTGGTAGTTCGCACACACACTTAGAAAACACAGCAAATCTGTGTGTGTGCAAGCGCTTAGAAAACACAGCAAATCAGCAGAATACACTCGGGCGCAGATTTCTCAGAAAAGTTGAGAAAACAGATCAAAAGGACAGCATTTTCTGAAAAAATGCGGAAATCTCAGACAGCAATTTCTGTGGGTCAGTGCGCTCCCATTGGCCGAAATGGGAGGTGCGTTCGAGCTCAACCAATCTGAGGGCGATGGAAGGCTTTTTTGCAGTCGCGCGTCCACACCAAGAATACTTCTCATCTGCGATATCACGCTTTGTTAATGACATGGGGTGCAGTTTTCTACAGACTGGAACGAGGGATCCAATACAGTTCATCAGGTGGATGGCATAGAAAATGCACATCACTCCCACCGATGCCCATGCTTGTGATGCTGTAACACATGCTCCAGTTCGTATCCGCCGGTAACAGACCTATGACTCATGCCTTGAGAGGTCTTCTGGGAGATTCATCAGAAGTCGAACAAGGAAACAACTTTACAGCATGAAAATCATGGTATGTGCACAGATTTGGAGGCACATCAACACCACACGACGGGCCAAACTCGCACCCAGGAATTTGAAAATCGGCCACGAGCCATAATACAACGAGAGGAGCTTACGTGACACCCCCTCTTCACCAGAAAACTCGGACATCTTCACCCACACATGATCACCCTCTTTGAAAGTTGATGGCCTTGTTTTTTTTTGTTCACGTGTCGCGCAAGCAAGCAACTTCTGATACTTGGCCCCATAGCCAGGCATGCCGAGGGTCAGTTTGGTGTGACAATTAGGCCAGAGGAAATCGATAGGGCTGCAGATGTGCCATCCGGTCTGCAGTTCATTCAGAGGCATACCTGTCCTGGAGCGAATACAGTTGTTACGATTATAGAGACTCTTCACAGCAGTGAACTCTTCATCCCACGTGTTGTTCTGATCAGGCACAATCAAAGCTCGCAATAACTGAGTTACATTCTGCTTGGTCATTCGTTTCCGAATGACGGTCGGATGTCATCGTTAGTTGTGCACCATACAGACTTATGCAGAATTATTTCCATTGTGAGCTGATGAAGCATGTATCCCAATCA